GGGATGTATGAAAATGGCTCTCTATTACTCCCTTTGTCTCACAATTATGATCTCACTTTCCTTTTCAGATGTCCCAAAACTAAGTTCCTACTTCTCTTTTTGGTAATATTTGAGTGGTGAAAACTCCTTTACCACTATGGAAAGTACATTATTAATTATTTATTCTCTTTCATAACTTTGAAGATGGGCATACTTGGAAAGTCAATAAAAAGTTATTTTTTGTAAAAAACGTTAATTCAAACTATGGACTTAATTGTGGGCAGAGGGAATATGTGTTTTGTTACAAGAGCATGCTCTCCCACTTCTCCAAAATGGATGAGCTCTCAACATTTCAGCTTCTAAGTGATCTGTCTTGATGTAATTTTTAGGAGTGGTTTTAAAGACCATTTGATGTCACTTTGAATCATACAACTATGTATTTATCTTTATGTGGAAAGAAGGCTCGTTTTGATTTTGCACAAAACTATGATGTGCCACTTTGGTGCACTTTCGCTTTAAACAATTTGGGCTATTGCTGATTTGGTGACAACCAGAATCTTTGTATGGAGTTTTCAGCTGACTATTGGCCTAAGAGACAAGGCAGGCAGTCCTTACTGTAAAATGCATTCAGTTAATGAGCAAAAGTATATGATCCTGTCCTCCTTGAACTGAAAATATTTACAACAAACATTTGCAGGGATGGAGCAATTCATAGGAAAGATGGAAGTTTACGAGAACTATAACCCTTATCTACAAGAAGATGATTACAATATAACTGGCTAATATGCACATTCTGCCGCAACTGTGTTGTTTAACAGACAAGCCTGGTTGATCTTATGAATCCAATGGAGTTGGTCATGACTTCGCTAGCAACAGTGTTTGCCCATGGCTGCCAATGCAAATCAGTTTGTCTATCTCATGGAAGTATAGATAAAATGGTACCTGTGTTATTATTTGATATATGAACTACCTTGAAACCTGTATAGCAAATTGTGTTGTATAGACCCGTATGTCTACTTCATTTTGGGGGTGACTCGGTAAATTGCTTACGATGAGAAATTGTCACTATGTAGTTATTGCATTAATTATTGGTGTTAACTAAATTATTTAATACTCTTTTGGGACTAAGGCTTGGATGTTGTTGCTGCTTCATGAATTCAGTCTTGTGAGTTTGAAATGCTGGAATTAAGGTGTTGGTGAGGACTAACGATGATGATGAATGTGTGGGATCTAAGAATTTGATTTGTTATGTTGAGCGTCTACTAATATAATGCCAACATTTTTCGAAATAATTGTGAGAGAAGTGTATGGAAAATAATTATTTGCACTTTTTTCGCTACGATAAATGTTTGTAGGTGGCTTATTAAGCGCCATTTGGGTCATAAAATTGTATTTAAGATGCACATCATATGTAATTGCTGAGACTTTGAGAGAGCATACATTGATTGATGATAAGTGGCAGTGAAGGCGATCTGAATATCTGTGTACACCAGGTTGTATTGTGTTCACCGTACAATCAAGTATTTTATGTTCTATTTAATGAGTATAACGTTTAAAAGAAATGGGTATTGGTATTAAATCACCGAATTTGTAGCACAATTGAGTATTAGAAGCATGTAATTAAGTATTATGATCTACACATAATATATATGCTACAAATAACTTATTCATTTAATTATATTTTCTTGTACCTTTGCCGATTGATGAGGTGTTTATTCCCCAGGCTACAACCAAGGTATTCCGAAATCCGAATTACTGTGATAGTTGCATATTTATAGACTTACTATGCCAAGGTAGTCCGAATTACTGTGATAGTTGCATATTTAAAGAGTAAATATAATACTTGGGATTAATACATGGGTATTGGACCAATAATGTACCCACACTATTAATACGACATGCATTGATTTGGGTTGTGAGTTTGTAATACTTGGGATATATATCTAAATTACGTAATTGTGAGTTTTTAGTTGTTTACTACATGTATGGGTTGGAAACAAGGTAATAGATTTGCATATACTACACATTTTGTTGGTTTAAAAATGCTAATGTCACGGCATACTCAGTTTTTTGGTAAAAAAAAACTACCGAGTATTTGAGTGTTTAAAACACGTATTTCTGCCTTGCAAAAAAAAAAAAAAACACGTATTTCTGCAAATAAAAAGGATGACACGAGTGTTGAAAGATCACTAGCTCTAATGACTTTATTTCAATGGAATTTTATCGGCCCAAGACCTAAAAGTTGAGTTAACTATCAATTCTGGACCCGAAAGAATAATTCTATCAATAAAGGACCTATAAGATTAAAATCTATCAATACAAGCCTTAAAAAATTAACGCTGTTAATTTGATTCTAACGGAAATTTGATACGTCCTCTCCTCCAAGGTTGTTAAAATCTCGATTTAAATCGTAAAATCGTACGATTTTACGATTCTACAATAATAAATCGATTCAAATCGCAGGTAAAATCGTAAAATCATAAAATCGTACAAAATCGTAACAAAATCGTACAAAAATCGTGTAGAATCGTATAAAATCGTATCAAAATCGTAGCAAAATCGGAATAAGTTTTTTTAGTGAAAATGGTTCAAATTTATTAAAATTAACTACTACAAATTGATACAAAATTTCAATAATAATAACATCAATAGTATATCTAAAAAAGTAATGGATTCTTGTGTTATTTAATTATTTTTATGTTTTACATATGTTTAATGTTATTATTCACTCTATTTACAATATAAAAATAGTTTATAAATCTTGTTTTTGACCTTGTAGGTATAGTGGTATGTAATAAAATGACATAATACCATTAACTTGCAACTTAATTTTAATATTTATTTATTTTATAATTATTAAAATATGTTTGATAAAATCTTACGATTTGCGATTCGATTTTACGATTCGATTTTCAAAAACATCTACCGATTCGATTCAAAAATACGATTTTAACAACCTTGCTCTCCTCCATTAAAAATTGCCACATGTGAGTCCCAATCACTATTAAAAATTGCCATGTATACTATTCAACATTTCAAATTAAACTCCTCATCTTCCATTTTCTTTTCACTCAGCCACAAACTTCGTATACATTTTTTCTCCCGTCTTACCTCGCCCACAAACCCCTTCATCTTCCACTGTTACTAACCTCCTTCATCTTCCACTGTTACTAACCTCCTTTATCTTCCTAACCCTCCAACCCGGTAAGTCAATCTTCATTCCTCTTGAATCAGCTCTCTTAGCTCGAGTCAATTATTTTTCTCTAGCCTTAAGATTTGAACCAGTTCTCCACTTAATGAATCTCACAAGGACCCCAATCTCGTCAAAGCTTCGTCTGCCTGTAAGTATGGAAGAAAATAGACGAAACATTTGCTAGTTTGGTAAATCTTTTAATGATGTGTGATTCTGTGAGATATGTTAATTTTATAATATTCTTTGAGGCTTCAATTTTTTGGAATTACTGTGTGAGATGTGTTAATTTTATAATCTTTTATATCGTTTTACCCATGTATTTCCTTTTTTCTAGAGCCTCCCTTATATATATAGCATATAACTATATATATAAGCATAGTTTTAATGGTGAACCTGGCTTTTGCTTAAAGGCGTTGGAAGATGCACAAGAATCTTGAGCCCTAGTCAACCAAAAGGTGGTTTAGGCTTCAATACCTGTGATGAGGTGGTGAGGCACCTAGTTTTAATATATATCCAGCCTTAGGTTTCAAGGAAGGCCTAATACACGTATAACATTACAAATTAATTATAAGTAAGGATGCCATTAATTAAGGAGTACAAATGAGATAAATCATTTCTAGATGACTATATGATAATCCTAAACCTCTTATCAAGTATCCTAAACCTGTTATCAAGTATTAACTAGCCGTGCAAGTATACATAATTGTGCCTTTTAGTATATAATAAACCCAACATCATTTTTAAGAGAGAATTCTGACTTCAGGAGCAGAACGATAGTTCTTTGTCTCATTTATTGGTCTTCTTTTTTGGTTCATCAGTCTTAGTCTTAGTTCTATATATGGGGAAGGCTCTGTAATTGATCATTGAAGCCATATCTCATTTGTGTATAAATCATGTCCATGTATGCCATTTTGATTTTGAGGTAGTTTTGAGTCACAAAATGATTATGCATTGATAAACGCGGTATCATTTAACTGAATTTGATAATAATATTTCACTCTAGATTCAATTTGATATTTTCTCAATACACTTTTGTCTATTTCATCTCACACAGATGGAGCTTTGATACTCCTTTGGGGCTGAAACATAAAACCTCTTTTTCATTTCAACCGAAATACATTCTAAAGATGTTTAACTAAATAAAATTTAATGTTTGGTCCATTTGAAACAGCTAAAGTTTGTGTTCTCTTTGTTTCACCTGGACTTGTCTACATAAAAAGAGTTAGGAATTGAAATCATTATTGATTTCATTATCTGAAATCCTTATTCGGATTGCATTTGAATGTCAACTTCATCCCAGAAGATTTACGCTTTGGTTTTTATACAAAATCAATATTGAATTGAATATGGATACGAATGAAATTGACATTGTCATGTAGCCAGTTTAACATCATCTAACATGTGTTTACTTTCAGAGCTTTCAACACATCTTGCTGGTCCATTTACACTAAATAAGGTAAATTTAGTTTCATTGTGATCACTGGTATATACTGTATATATTGGCCACATCTTCTAAATTGATATGCATAAGAATGATGTCAATACAGAAATATGGGTGGACAGAACGTGAGTAAATGAAATTGCAAAAATATTAGTATAAATGGAATTTTTAATTCGAAAAGATATGTTTACTAGTTACTGAAACATTCCATAAGTAATTAAAATAGATCTAAGTAAAAAAAAAAGATCCAGACACACTATAAAATCAATAGTCACTGTTTAAAATGTACTACTCAAAGCAAAGATCAAAGTGAAAATTTCATCGTCTAGGTCTGATACTGCTATCTCTACTTGAACTACTGTCTTCTTCTTCTTGTCTTGTCAAACATTTCTCTGGATTGTGAAAATGGAACATCCTCATGTCAGCTCCTGAAAAGAATAACAATATAACATTAAACAAAGTAAAGTATCATTGGAGCCTAAGTTGAAAAATCATACCTGTTCATTCTCTTTCTCTTTACAGGACCTTTTGTTATGGCCAAATTGTTTGCATTTACCACACCTAATCATTCCATATTTTCTCTTAGCTTTGTGTGGATCCTTCCTTTCCAGTGATGATTTGTGCCTTTGCTTTTTTGGTCTCCCTGGTGGCCTCTTTAGTAAAGGTGGTTGTATGAGCTCATCATTAGTTTTAGGCCAAAAATCAGGACCTCCCATTGGATTTATTTCATACTCATAGGCTCTTAAAAAACAGTCTCTTGTAAAATATTCATGTATATAATTTTCTGGCCTGGCCTTGATAGACATTATAGCAGCACAAGCATGGATACAAGGCACACCTGTTAAGTCCCACATCCTACAAGTACATGTGTTGTTCTCAAGGTGAACAATAAACCTTTTAGGCCATAGTGAAACGTCAAATATAACTTCCCCACATGAAACAGAATTCCACCTAGTAGATTCCATGATGCATGCATTCAATTTCTTTAGTATCTCTGGACATATAAAACTTCCAGTGAGCCTCATCTTATTCTTTTTTTTCCTCATTAATTTCATTGCTTTAATAATCCTTATATTGTCGATAAGGATATCAACATGATTGTCTCGGTACCTTTTTATGACTCCATTGAAGCACTCAACAATGCTACTTGAGAACACGTGACACTTAACGTGATTTTGAAAATGTGCTCTACTCCATCTCTCAACACCTACTTGAGTGAGATATTCCCATGCAGTGTACTCTTTAGCCTTCATCTTATTCATGTATCTGTCAAAATCACACGTAGTAGTAGATTTTGCAGCTAACCAAAATAGCGATCTCAACTGTTCATCCTTCCATTTTTTCTCAAAGTTCATATACAAATGACGTACACAAAAGCGATGATATGGTGAAGGATATAGTTCTTGCAGTGCAGCTACAAGACCCTATTAATCAAGCAAAAACAAAACAAATTTGTAAACCAAGCATATAAGCATTAACGATAAAGCATGTAAACAAATTAAGTATTTACCTTTCCTTGATCAGATATGAATGTCCATCTCTCTCCATGTATGGATGTTTGTCCAATATCAGTCAACAAACTATTTAAGAACCACAACCATGTCTCTCTAGTTTCAGATGAAACTATAGCATACGCTATAATGAACAAGCCATTGTTCCCATCAAGACCCACTGCTGCAAGAAGCTGACCACGATAGTATCCACTTAGATGGCATCCGTCTATTGCAATAAGTGGTCGGCATCCATTTAAAAATCCCTTTCTACACGCATCTATGCATATGTATATTCTATCAAATCTTGATGGACCACTTGCACCGTGTTTTGATAACAACAATTCTACGGATGATCCAGGGTTAGTCTTTAGTAACTTTGCACAGTAACCTGGTAACTTAGAATGTTGTTGAGCGACATTGCCATGAAGTGATTGTAAAGCATATGCCTTTACTCTATAAGCCTTTGCAATGCTAATTGTGACATTATATTTCTTATATATAAGATCCCTTAATTCTTCACCTCCCATTTTTGGATGTTCTCTAAACTCTTCGATTACTTTATTTCCCAGCCACTTGGTATTGGCAAATTTTGCTTTCACTCCCTCCTTTTGACAATTATGGCTAGAGATGAAGGTTTTTACCTTAAAGGTATCTAAATTTCCAACTTTGGAACAATATATAAGCCACGGGGAGTCCTTCACACACTTTACACGACATCTTGTCTTATCTTTCCTCACAAAGGTCAAATTATACATATTTTGAATCCCATAGCTTCTAACGGCTTCATAAAAATCATCAATAGATGCAAATGATTGTTCCAACCTGAAGTTAGCCTCCCTATGACTTCTTGAATTTGCCCCGAGTCAACTTCATCTTCACTTGCTGAGGATTCGGAACCATGAATGCTCTTTAATTCCATCAAAGATTGTATCGTAGCTGGCTCAGAAAAATCCGATAAATCACCTTCATCATGAATTAGAGCACATGTACCGTTTGTGGGGAGGGACCAACCACCTGGTTGTTTGTCATCTTCACTATTATATTCATCTAATATCCATTCATCATTTTCTGAATCCATCTGCAAAGAAAAATAATAATAATAATAATAATAATAATAATAATAATAATAATAATAATAATAATAATAATAATAATAATAATAATAATAATAATAATAATAATAATAATAATAATAATAATAATAATAATAATAATAATAATAATAATAATAATAATAATAATAATAATAATAATAATAATAATAATAATAATAATAATAATAATAATAATAATAATAATAATAATAATAATAATAATAATAATAATAATAATAATAATAATAATAATAATAATAATAATAATAATAATAATAATAATAATAAAATCAAGATAATCTCAAACAAGTGAAACGTAAGTACAAGTATATTGGATTGAAAATAGCTTCTCAAGCAAAGAAAGTATTATTATGCGAATTTTTTATAGATAATCTCATGGTAAATGTCAAGTCACGAATACTGTTAATTAAATTCTTCTGATACAATTTTCATGGTACTTTAACACATAAAAAGAAAACCGCAGAAGTGTACAATATGGTAAAGACAGATCGTGCAAAATAAAGTGTAAGATGAACTTACTGTAAACTTAATTGCAGGATGGATTAAGGCTGCATAATCGTGAGAAAGATTATGGAGACTACAGCGGCGAAGGTTGTATGAGAATGAGGAGTTGTCGATAGTAGGATCGGCGGCAGTTGCTATGTATAACTTTACCTATTTACTGATTCATTATATGCTTTTTTTAAATATTTTTTTATTATGTGGCGCCACATCATGCTCAGTTAACTATAAGTTAACAGCGTTAATTTTTTAAGGCTTGTATCGATAGATTTTAATCTTATAGGTCCCTTATTGATAGAATTATTCTTTCGGGGTCCAGAATTGATAGTTAACTCAACTTTTAGGTCTTGGACCGATAAAATTCCTATTTCAATTCATTTTTTCAAGGGGGTTTTACCCAAATAGGAGTAATTAAATTATTAATTACTAAAATAGGACTAAAGTTTAAAAATTCCCCAAATGGGAGTTATTATATGTAGCTATACAAAAATACCCCTGAAACTTGACAAACATACTCTCGCTGACTGACCGACCGACCGCCGGACAGACCGTTGTTGACCACCGTCGGCCACCGCTGGCCGCCACAACCCACCATTGCATCATCAAAACTAGCCGCCCCTGCCGATCTGACCGCTGCCGCTGCAGGCCAGGCCGCCGCCGTAGATCTAAGCAGATTTGGCCACCGCCGGTCACCAACTGCCGCCCTTAAAAATCCGGTAGCCACCCCCACATATCCGACCACTGCTACTGCAGTTCCGACCACCATCGCCGATGTCGTCGGTTTTTTAGCAGAATGCCAACACGAATCGGAAATGCCATATTAATGGCATTTTCAAAGGTAAATAGAAAGTTTTTGAAGAACAAAAATGCCATTTTGATGGCATTTCCAGAGGAAAATTGGCAATTGTAAAAACCAAAGAAGAAGATGGACATCAGATCTGCGACCGAACAGAATACTAGAAAGAGACAAACACAGAAGATTGAGAAGGAGGAAGGAGGAAGAAGAATGAGTTACTTTACTCCGCCAGTCCGCCGATGCTTGCCGCCGCTCTCCGCCACCCTCGTCGCACCTGAAGGGCTCGTTGCAGGTTGCCAATCAAAGAAAATGAGAGGAGAAGAAAACCTAATCTATCAGGGAGGAAGGGAAATTGAATACGGAGTAATAATGTGTGGAGCAGGGGGGAGGTTTGAGCGGAGCATAATGTCACACGTATGAGGGTAATTTTGGAATGGTGGTCCCATTTAGAGAAAATAAATTAATTGCTCCTATTTGAGATTTTGACTAAAAATTTAGTCCTACGGAAGGCAATTAGTTCTTTTTTCAAGGATTTTTGACACTTTTAGGCCTTCTAGTCTTATGTGTCAATTGTGTCACTAACACTTTTAGAGCCCGTTTGGTAGCACGAAAATCAGCTGATTCTACTGAAATTTATGAAGTTATGACTGAAGTGGTTGCATTGGCTGCTTCTGCTGATTTAAGAGAAAATATTTTTAAAATATATTTTATTAATAAAATAAAGAAAATATTATATGTAAAATAGCTAAAATGGTCATTTACAGTAACTTCAGCCAATACAGTCAGAAAAGTAACTCCAACTTTACTTTTTCTGCTTATTACACAATTCAGCGCGTGAAAGCAAAAATTACGTGTTTGGTGAAAAAGTTAGCTGTTAAGTCTTAATATTCGACTTTTATATTTTCTATTTTTAGTCCTTTAACTATAATGTGAGAGACACTATTAATCCCACGAGTATTGTCAAATTGATGTTTTTAAGTCCTTTCACTATGATCTTGTCACAAGAACGGAAGACTAAAAATGTCACTATAATAATAGTTGAAAGGCTTAAAGTGTGAATTTTAAAAAAATTGAAGAACTAAATATGAAAATCTCAAATACGAGTACCAAAGTGTCTCTTACACAGTAGTCAAAAGACAAAAAAATAAATAAATTCAAAGTCGAGTATAAAAAATGTCATAGACATTATAGTAGGCCTGGACTCGGGCCGGGCGGCCCGCTCCGGAACCGACCCGAACTAGTTACTGTTTGAACCGGCCCGAACCGCCGGCCCGGCCAGGGACCGGTCCGGGTAGGCCCAACCCGCTGGGGTTCCGGTCCGGGCTCGGGCTCCTCAAAATGTGAACCGGCCGGTTCGGGCTCGGTCCGGGCCCGGTCCGGGCCAATTTATTTATTTTTCTTTTTTTTTGAATTTGTTTAAGTTTTTGGGTTGGGCTGGGTATTTTGGGCCATTTGAGGTGGTTTGGGGTGGTTTGGGGGTGACTGGTGAGGGTTGGGGGTTAATTAGGAAAAGTAAAAAAAAAATGAACCGAGGCCCGGCCCGACCCGGGGGTTACCGGGCCGGTTTCGCCCCCCCCCCCCCCTTCATAAACCGAGGCCCGGTTGGGCTCAGGCCCAAACCGGCCCGAGTCCACCCCTACATAATAGTCCGATGACTAAAAGTGGCAAAACTCTTTTCTTGTATCAACATTTTTAGATGGGCAATTACGCAACACAAAACACGACATGACCAAATGTGCAAGTGAGTAAAGTTACAGGATCACATTTTTAGATGGGCAATTGCGCAACACAAAACACGACATGACCAAATATGCAAGTGAGTAAAGTTACAGGATCACGTGTACAACCAAAAATTAAAAGGCTAAACCTACAATTTTCTCGAACTTATGTTATCTAGCATTCTAGCACGCCCGTTAACTCAAATAGCAGAACCGTTTGAAAGAAAAAATGAACAAGAATGAGAAGCCATCGCCGCTGGCAAGTTCGGATGGAAAGAATTCCAACACTGAAAGAATCTTCTCACATAACTCAGCTCGAAAAACGTTAATCACCATGACACCATTAACCATTCTCAAGAGCAGATATTTTAGTGTGCAAGCAGAGTCCCCAATAGTGGTTTTAATCGCATTTATCATGTCATCAATGTGGAACCATCTATACATGTTCGTCAAAACCCCAAAATTCACATGGAATCTACAATTTCAGGGTCAACTGTGATGAGCATTGAATACCAAGGTAAACCTTTTCTACTAATGAATAAATCAGATCTTATTGAATCTTACAAAACAAGTAGAGCGTAAAAATATCACTCACAACTTCACAAGTAATATCATTATACACGTGAAGGAGAGAGGGGGTATAATTGGGCTAGTACCCCCCTCCCCCGCCGCTTTCTTCGTCCCAGTAGATCTCAACTATTCGTTCAAGAGGAGTATGAGGTGAGAGGAGGAATGGTGGACATTCCCTTAGAGGGAAATGAGAGGGAAGCTAATCCCGTGGTACTAAGGAAACTGCAGTGGAAATCATCTATCCCTACCATCACTTACCCATATTAAGTTGAAGGCTGCTCATCCCATCATTAACTTTTTGAATACGAGATTCATCCCTCACCTCATTCCGATTGAAACTATTAGCATTGAGCCACGTGTGCTGAAGGCATTGCTGTGCAGTTGGCCGCTTCTCTGGCTCAAAATCAAGAAGGGGACGAAGAAACTCTGCAAACTCAACCCCGTCCTCTTTTGAGAGTTTATATTTATCCACTAATAATTTGTCCAGAGACGAGTACTTCAGCCTCCTGATCCTCTTCAAATCACCATGTCTGTCAAAGTAATCTTTAGATCGTGCCCCACTAATTGCCGTCTGTTCAAAAATATTACAAGAGAATTTAGACAATGTTCATCCACATTTTCCAAAAGCAGCACATAAATTAAGTAGTTGGTATGGTATGCTGCTAACCTTCCGGGGCATTTTACCAAGTACTTCCATCATAAGAGCTAGGTGATCCTACATTGAAGATAATACCTTTTTTAGGTCGGAAAGGAAGTAATATATGGAAAAACATTAATTAGAAATGTAAGTGAATATGTATAAGGAGTACCGGAGCTATAACAAGTGATAGAAAGTAATCATAATCAAACCAACAAAGTAGAAAACCATAACTAGCAAGCAAGACCACTCTTTGGGACATAAACTGACGATTATGTATATAATAATTATAAATATTTCAGGGAGTCACTGCTACAAATATTTTTGTTTTGTCTTTTATTCAGTCCATAGATTGCTCGGCACACCTTCAGACTACCCAAGGGTGAGGTGTCCCCATCTAACATTCATTACACATTGAAGCATACTATAGTGATGTTAGATTAAAATCCATTTAAATTCATCAGTCTCTTTGGAGCGGATGCTATGAAGCAAACAAACTTTCCCTTTTCGCTTAGATCCCAAAGTGGATTAAGAAAACAAGTTTGAACCAAGAAGAAAGGTAGAGGCAAAACCATTATACTTATGGTGTAGATTACAGGCAAATACGACGAGCATGCTCATTTATTGCCAAACTTTCTTCCTTAAATATCTTTAATTGCATATAAGGTAATGCCTTGCTACAGTAAATGATGTTGGTTTCAAATTAAACGTTTATGAGGGCAAATAATTACATTAAATGCAACCC